CACTTTTAATGGTCTTTTATCCATTCATAATTTTGCGATATCACAAAACTGGAAAATGTTGGTTCACTAAGGTACATAGATCTTCCAAACGTCAGCTTATTTTGGTATACAATGTCAAGAAATCACATTTGTTAATATCACTTCCAATCCTATCAGAAAAGTCTTTAAGTGTTAGGGACGTTGTTGACCTCATGAAAGCAGCTATGAGTTTTCCAAAATCCCGATTTTTGCTTGGAAGCTCAAATTTCTTTCTTGCTTTTTTTTTTTTTTTTAAGATTGGCACCTGGGCTAACAACTATTGCCAACCTTTGTTTTTTTTTTTCTGCTTTATCTCCCCAAACGCCCCCTGTACATAGTTGTATATCTTAGTTGCAGGTCCTTCTATTTGTGGGATGTGGGACGCCGCCTCAACGTGGCCTGACGAGTGGTCCCATGTCCGCGCCCAGGATCCGAACCCTAGGCCGCAGCAGCGGAGCATGCAAACTTAACCACTCGGCCGCGGAGCTGGCCCCAGAAGCTCAAATTTCTCATTGGTGACAAATACTATTTGTTGTTTTCCATGAAATAATAGTCTCACTTCACTCATTTTCAAGAATATGTCTTCCAAATATCCAAATCTGAATAATTATGATTTGTCTATTAGTCATTCTTTCAAGTAAAAAGGGTGTTCCATGAAAAAAAAGTGACTAGGATATAGCTCAAAGAATCACCCAGGTGCTTTTTCTTAAAACAGCCATCATACCTGGGTATGCAGCAGAATTGTTTTATATGGATTTCCCATGTTGTCACATAGAATATAAAAGACCTATACTCAACATTCAAAATTTAATAAAATTAATAATTTTTACTGCTTTGTCAAGGACATTTCAAAGAGAATCTGGCATTCTTTTCTTTTACTGCAAGTGTTTGACATTGAAGAATACAAACGCTTGTACAATTTGGTGCCACTGCTTTGATTTGCTTTACTAGCCATCGCTTTTGCACCATCAGTGCAAATGTCAACACAGCGAAAAAAGCAAATAACATTTTAGTATAATTCTGAAAATAGTTTTGACCTTGTGGACCCCCTGAAATGGTCTCGGGGATCTCTTGGGACCTGCTCACTACTTCTCCTTCCAGAACCAACATTGATGAATACAACTTTTTTTTAAGAAAGCAATTCCATATGGCCATTCCTTTTGTTTCTGTAACACGAACCTGTAATCCTCCTTGTCTGATCCTTTTTCATTTTTTCCCTTGGTGCTTATTTTATCAAATTCTATTTAAATATACTTGTCACCAAAGTTCTGTCTTAGCCCTCTGTTCTTCTCGTGTTACTCTCTTCCTGGTGGCATATGCTGGACTAGACAGAGTGGGTGTGGATACAGTACACACCTCTGAGTAGTGCATGCATCTATGCTACTTCTCCAACTGTAAGATTTGGGCATTAAAAAAAAGGCACAAATGTAACAAACGATAAATTTTAGGATGAGCAAGCCCAGACAGACTCCCTGCCAGGACGGTTTTCTGCTCAGAGGTCCTAACTGGGGAAAAGGTCCCAGGAGATCACACTGCTCAAAGTTCAAACAGGTCTACAGGAGGAGTCTCTGAATCATGGGATGGAGAGTTACAGCCACTTGGTACTCCTCTTAGTACTGGGTGTGAGACTCAAGCAAGAGCTCAGGTTTAGCCCTGTTAGAAGGCTCAGCAGACTCATCCCTCTGGAACTTAAAGGCTGGGTCTTGGCAGGCAGCAGAGAGTCCCTGAAGGGCATGAAGAATTTGCCTGGGTGAATGGAACTGTCACACAGCTGCAGACGTGCCTTCTAACTCAAAGGCACACACTGGGTTTCCCTGCTCTCCACGCGGCCCAGACATCCTCTTCAATGCATGACATTGGCTTAGAGAATCACTTGCAAAATTCAATTCCCTCCATTCCTGTTCTCCCTTCTGAGGTCCTGATTCTCTGACATTCTAACTATATAACTAGTTGCCCCCAATCATCCTAAACTCAACATGCCAAAAACTAACATTCTCCCTGAAACTATTTCCTAGGTCATTTAACATCATTACCATCCACCTAGTTGCTTAAGCTAGAAACCTGTGAAGTTATCTTGAACACTTCCCACAAACCCTTATCCATAATTCTAAAGTCCAAAAAGCTCTGAAAACCAAAACTGACTCTGTAAACTGGTGTCAAAACTCATTTGGCAACAAAATTTAACTTGAAATGACACAAGGCTGTTTGTGGTCTTTATTTGTCCCACTTGGTGTGACTATTTATATATTTGGGGACAGAAATATTAACGTGTTTGATTATGGGGTGCTGTCCCATCCCAATTAGTAGAGTTAATATTCATGTATGCACTACATTACTAAAATCCCCCAAATTCCAGATTCTGGAACTTATCTGGACCCCTGAGTTTGGATAAGGGGCTGTGGGCCTGTAATTGGTGACTAAGTCCTTTTGATTCTCCTGTACATACTGTCTCTTTATTTCCCGATGCCAGTACCAGAGTCCAGCCCTCCTAAATTCTCCTTTATTGTCACAGTGGTCTCTCGCCTGGTTTTCCTGTTTCTTGCCTTGCTCTTGTCAAATGGGCTGTTTCTATGTTTGCTAATGTCACCTTTATGCAGTTTAAATGGAATCACATCACCGCCCTGTTTTAAAATCTCATGGGGCCCCTGTCACCCCAGCCACGTTTTCCAAACTTCAGTCATTCCCATACAGCCTTCTCGATTTTCGCCTTCTCCTTGTGCCAACTGTACTATTTCAATTAGGTTTTCTTTTAAGTTGATTCATTTTTACTCCATTTATTTGCATAAGAATGTTATTTTCATCGCTACAAATGGAAAACCCATATCGCTTGTCATAAATAGAAGGCAACCATAAATATAAATACTAGAAAAAGAAAACAATTAGAAACTATTTTTACCAAAGGGACTGACCAGAGCCCTGCTTGCTCTCTTTATTGAAAAGAGATATTAATAATAAGAGCTAATATTTGAGACCTGACTATGTGCTAAACACCTTCCCAAGCCTTTACATCTCTTAACTCAATTAGTCTTCCCAACACCCTATGAGGTAGACACTATGTCACATTATTCCCATTTTACAGATGAGGAAACTGAGCCTCAGAGAAGTAAAGCAACTTGCTCAAGGTCACACAGGCAATAAAGGATATAATTGAAAGACTGAAGGAAAACTGGAAGGGCAATGCATTTCTCATTATGTGATTCAATGTGATTATACGTCCTATTTTCCTAAAACCAAAATAGCCTCTCCATTCCTGATGGTAAAAGACTTCACACTTCAAGAAACTCTGGCCTCCTACAGGATACTCCTATTTCTTCAGAACTTTTATAACTGGGCTCTCTTCTATCTTTCTTGCCTCATCTCCTGCCACAGGAACCCCTTAGTCTCTACCAAGTCCCTGCGCCCACCATTTATTGGTACTCTCATGCTTTTGCTCACACTGTCTGGAATCTCCTTCTTCCTTTTTTCTATTAATCCTAGTCATACTCAGCTCAAATGACACACAAGAAGCATTCCCTAGCCACCCCAGGCATAATGAGCCCAGGACTTGGTTTATTCTTCAGGTGTGGAACCTACTTTATTCTCTCTTGTCATTCTCTAGAGCAAGGGTTTTGTAATCCCCCTTCCTTCACAGAGTGTCTTACACAGAATAGGTCCTCAATAACTGTTAGTGAAATTAGATGTATTCCCACCTGGAGAGCTTTCCCCTCGTCTCCATCAATAGAGAGAGGAGATCACACGTCTCTGGCTGACCGTGGCCTGTCACGATCGTGGTGGGATGCAGGGAGAATGCGGTGGAGAAGGTAAAGCCCCTGTGCCTGGGCTGGGCACCGCCACCCTTTCAGCTGCAGAGGAAGGGAAGGCTGGCGCCATCTCACAGCGGCAGTCCAGCCCAGGAGGACTAATTACGTTATTCCCTTCCACAGCCCTCCTCCCCAGTAAACCCTCAAAGATTTTTTTAAAATTAATGAAAAAAATTACAGAGAAGAAAGCATGTTCACACAAGTAAATTTCAAGTTCCTCCCTATCCTTAGACCGGAAATGGCCCCTGTCGCAAACATTAAAGTTTCACTCTCTAGCTCTGTTGGAAGGCTATTCTTCGCTACACAGAGCAAATGGAGGAAGGTGGAAGCCCCGCTTTCCAGGAGGTTTATGTACACAATTCGTCCTGTGCGGAGCGCCAGGTAAACACCAGGTGGACTCTCTGGCTCTATTCGCCTTTCCTGGGAGTACGTGAGGCCAGAGACTAGCACCCAGTCGTTGCCAATGCCTCCTAAACCCAAACCTGTGGGTTCCCAGGGGACCGGCGGTCTTTTCCCATTTGAGTAACCAGTAAAGACAAACGTGGGATTATCTGTCACGAAAAACGAGCTTCCGGGTCTATAGAGACCCGCGGCTCCCTCTGCGCGGGGATCTGCAATCGCGTCAATTCCGGACTCGGCGGTGGATTCCAAATGCACGCAGCCGGGTAAACTGGTCTGGAGCCGCGCTCGGATTTCTTCTGCAACCTGTTCTCGGAAGCATAGGGACTCTCCCGGAGCTGCAACCCCCATCCCTCGCGTCAGGCCCTAAAGCACCAGAAGCTCTTCAGCTGCCGCTCCAGCTTTTTGCAGACGGCTGGACTCCCTGAGCTTTAACCTTGGCTTAATTGAAACTCCCGAAAACACCTTGTAGCCCTTGGCTGGCTCCGCCTCCCGGGCCACGTGGGTGCAGCACACCCAAGGCCCAGAGCGCCAGCGGGAGAGGCGGCCACCGCCCTGCGGTCAGGGCGGGCGCAGAGGAGGCGTGGCAGGCCACTGTGGTGGGCGGGTCCAGTAGGGGAGGGGCGTGAGGGGCCACTGTGGTGGGTGGGCCAAGGGGGAGCGGGGCGGGCGGACCCGGCCCAGAGGGGGCGTGGTGGGCCACTGTGGTGGGCGGGCCCAGCAGGGGAGGGGCGTGACGGGCCAATGTGGTGGGCGGGTCCAGGAGAGGAGGGGCGGGGCGGGGGCGGGCTCAGGCTGTGGCTAGGCCGAACGTGCTGCAGGCCGTCCGCAGGCCCAGCGCGCCACCATGGTGCGACAGCGCCCGCGGTCGCGGGGACCGCTGCAGCAGCAGAGGCGTCCGAGGAGGAACGGAGGCTTAGGTCGGGCCCCAGCGTAGTCGGCCCGCGAACGCCCGCCAACCCCGAGCCGCGACTCCTCCTCCCTGCCTTCCTGGGCGCGGGCGGCGACCCCGCTGGACGATGCGCGCCCCCGGCCTCCCCGGAGGTTGAACCCGCCGCTCCGCGCTCGCCCTCCCGGCCGCCCCCATGGCGTGGCCGGGCGCCGAGGGCGCGGCTGACAGGCCGGTGTCCCCGGCCCGGGGCGGCCCCGCCGGCTCCGCGTCCTCGTCGTCCGCCTCCTCCGGCTGCTCGGCCTCCGCCTCGGCCTCGGCGGGAGCGGGGCTGTGGGCCGCGCTGTACGACTACGAGGCGCGCGGCGAGGACGAGCTGAGCCTGCGACGCGGCCAGCTGGTGGAGGTGCTGTCGCAGGACGCCGCCGTGTCGGGCGACGAGGGCTGGTGGGCCGGCCAGGTGCAGCGGCGCCTCGGCATCTTCCCCGCCAACTACGTGGCGCCGTGCCGCCCGGCCTCCCGCCCCGCGCCGCTGCCCGCCGCGCCTCAGCCGCCCCGGCCCGGCTCGCCCGTGCACGTCGACTTCGAGCGGCTGGAGCTCAAGGAGCTCATCGGCGCCGGCGGCTTCGGGCAGGTGTACCGCGCCACCTGGCAGGGCCAGGAGGTGGCCGTGAAGGCGGCGCGCCGGGACCCGGAGCAGGACGCGGCGGCGGCGGCCGAGAGCGTGCGGCGGGAGGCGAGGCTCTTCGCCATGCTGCGGCACCCCAACATCATCGAGCTGCGCGGCGTGTGCCTGCGGCAGCCGCACCTCTGCCTGGTGCTCGAGTTCGCCCGCGGCGGAGCGCTCAACCGCGCGCTGGCCGCCGCCAATGCCGCTCCGGACCCGCGCGCGCCCGGGCCGCGCCGCGCGCGCCGCATCCCTCCGCACGTGCTGGTCAACTGGGCCGTGCAGATCGCGCGGGGCATGCTCTACCTGCACGAGGAGGCCGTCGTGCCCATCCTGCACCGGGACCTCAAGTCCAGCAACAGTAAGTGGACGGGGGGCGGGAGGAGAGGGACGCCGCTGTGCCCCGCGCAGCCCACCTCCGTGCCAGCCCTGGGCGGCCTCCACCGGGCATACTGCCAGGTGGAAGGAGGCGGGGGTCAGCCTCCTGGTGCCACAGCCTCATGCACAGGTCTTCAGGGCCCAGAGATCTAGCTAGACCTTGGTTACTTGCTTTGGGGCAGGTGACACTTACCTTGATTGGTTGCTTTGGGGTGCCTTTTAAAAAAACTTGCTTGCAGACTAAGCGCTTGTGAAATATCTGAATCTTCTGGAAACCTCACGGTGCTGTTGACCTTTAGGTACAGTAAGTGGTTCATTTGGGTAGAACTTTGCAAACCAAGGCGTTCCTCAGATTATGAGGAGTGCGTGACCCTTCTTCCCCCCAAGTGGCCTTCGTCGAACTCCCTGTTTCCTTCACACTTAAAAGTGGTGTGTTGAGGTCGCTTGTTTCCTGCTTTAAACATGGCTTCGTGTCCTTTGACGTTCCCGAAGACTTTTCATTCAGATGTCTCTGCACATGAGATCTGATTTTATTATTGGTTCAGTGGTTTGAATGTTGGGGAATAGTCTCCAGACGGGAAACACTAGTTCTCGCCATTATGCACATTTGGGTTGATTAAGAGCAGGTTCATTGTCCTTGCACAGGTATTTGGAATCCTGAGGACCTGGCTTATATCATTTACTTTGTTTATAAATCAGGGTGGACTTTCCAGATGTCAGTAAACAACTGAGAAATGAACTAAACTCAAATCCTATGAAATTTCACCTGTTATCTTCAAAGAGCTAATCGAATTGCTGTTTGAAGTTGGTTCTTCAACATTGAAGATCGCTTCATATTCTTAGAATGAGATGAAATATGAAAGATTAAAAGATGCAGCCAGAACTGGCATTGGCCTACCATGGCTGCATGTCTTTCAACCTTGTAAAACCTGCTAGGACAGGAGCTAACTCAGACGCAAGCATTGTCCTTCTCCAAGTCTGCAGAAAGAAGAGTGACAAGACGAAATGATACATTGGTTGTATGTTTGTGTAGATTTTTTTTCTATTCAGAATCCTTCAGCACTGAAATTTACTTGAAAATGACTAATGTAGCAGTTTCCTTATGGGAATTATAAGTAATTTGAGTGTTGGTAACCACATTTAAGAACTGAATACTTTTCTTTTAGACTTTATTTTTTGACTCCTGCTAATCCTCGTGTCTTATAATTTAGATTGCAACTGCTTAAGTGACAGGAGCAAATTGTAAGAAAATATGGCATAGAAAAGTGGTGGTGGTAGTGTGTATTCTTAGGCTTTTGACAGAGGCCACATGAAGGACTCCAGAATTATTTACTTTTGGACTGTTATGGTAAAGACATAGCGCAATTTTCAAAGTACATATTTTTGTAAATGCTTCAAATCTGACACAGTCTTTACTACCATTTAGTGTTTATTTCCTAAAATATGCTTTTATTGAAAGAAATGTTTAGCCTCCTGCCATAGAACAAGCCCTGTGTGTCCTGTCCGTGCGCCCCATAAGCTCTCTCCCCAGTGACATCCTGCAGGCCTGTGTCTGCCGGGAGTTTTCGGCAGAACCAGGCGTTTTAAGGACAGCAATAGCATCATTGCTCGCTCTGCCTCTTGTCAGTTGGAGCAGGTCTGTGCTCTGCTTGGAACTTGGCATCTGACAAACTCGTTCTGTTGCAGGACATCAGATCACCAACACAGGCAAATGGTTTGGGCTGGATTGGTCCTTAGACCAAAAAGTTAAATGCCTGTAACTATTATTTTCGCAGTATGCTTAGTCTGTTTTGTTGGATTGTAATAATGATTGCCATCCCTGTGAGCTGATGACAGGGTAGAGCTTGTTTGCTAGTGATTGTAAAAGCATAGAAGGGGAAATTAATCCGTGTTCCAGTTGTAAAATTTTTAATATAAATTAACAATGTAAAGAACTAATACTATTAAATAGGAAAAAGAAATAGCATGACCTTGGAATAATAACTGTGGTTAAATAATTTTTACTGATACCAGAAAAACGTCTACAGTGGAACTGTAGACTACTTTGTAGATAGTAGATATTATGTAATTTGAAGGTAATTATATGCTGCAACTTAGTTTTTGAAAGACTTTTCACCCTCGGAATAAATTGCCCAACTTCCTGGAGCATTTTAATTCCTATAATTGTCAGGCAAGGTTGCCTTTGCTTTAAATTGTTACACTTTAACAAAAACTTAATTGGCTAGGTCACTAGCCTAGCCAAATATTTGTTACAATATTACCATTATCATAGTTATTTAATTACCGTAACATGAACATTTTGAAAGGGCCTAAAATGTGCAAATCACAGCATTTAGCACATTGCTTTCTCCTGGCTCTCTGGTGTGGTTTATTCAAAACATAAATGCAGATACCTTGGAATTCTCTTATGATAAATGAAGCCATAACTTCTTGTTCAGACTTTTGAATACAGTAGATACTCTATTACAGTATGTTTTGTTTGACTTTATTGGTTATTTGCTAATGGGCTAGTGAGTTAATGATAATGTAAACAAGGTTTTAAAAATCAATATTGAATTTTAGTTTCATTCTGTAGTCTACTCATGTAACAAAGAACCAGTATAAGACTGCTTGAAGCCAGGTTAGTAGAAATTATTGTTTAAAACAAATGTTTAGATTTGTCAAAGGAAGATATTGCTCTTGAAAGGTTTTCTTTCCTCTTTTCAGATGGGTCTTGATAGCTTTTTTCATAGTTTAAGACAATGTACATGTTGAAATAGTAGCTGATATGTTGTGATGGTACAAACAACTTTGTCCCTTTCTAACAAAGATTGAAGTTGAGCCAAATTAAAAAGTTTTAAGCATCATTTACATTCTTAAAATAAGCGAGTCCCTCTCACTCCCAGGATGCAAAGAAAGGAGAAAACATTGTGCCAAATCTATCTACATGCAACAACTAAAGAGCCATACAAGGAAACTGGGTTATTGTGAAAACAGCGAGTTTTACATACATTCAGAGAAGAAAGAAAAATCGTCGTGAGCTGGACATCATTTATTCAACACATTTTGAGTGCCCACCCTGTGCCAGTCACTTCTGGGCCCCAGGGACACAGTGGCAAACCAGGTGACAATATCCTCACTGGTGTAGGGTTTAGGCTAGTAGGAGAGAGAGGTGGCAGTCATGCAATGGCAAATATTAGTAAATGCTATCAAGAAAATAAAGCATGGTGAGGAGTAGAGAGTAACAGGGTGGAGGATGAGCGTGCAACTGTTTGGACGGGATGGTCAGGGAAGCTGCTCTGAGGAAGTAACAAACAGAGACGTGGACGAGGAGGAGGCAGGAGTCAAGCAAAGATCCACGAAAGGGAAGATGAGGCAGAAATGAGCCTCGCTCATTGGAGGAGTGGGAAGAAGGCTGGAAGGTTGAGAAGGAGAGTAGAGAGTGAGGTAGAGGTGGGTGAGGTGGGCCTTGCAGGCTGCGACCACGTGGAGGTTCCTCGCTGAGTGCCGTCCACCTGGAGCCTTGGAGCATACTGTGCAGAGGAGCCGTGTGGTCAGATTTCTGTGTTTACAAGATTATTCCGGCTGCCCTGGAGGATGGACTAATAGTTGCCGCAAGTGAAGGCCGTCGAGGTTGTCCAGGCCAGTGAAGGCAGTGGCTTGGCCAAGGGTGGTAGCAGTGGAAGTGGTTTTCAGGGAAGTTAACCAGGGAGGAATGAAGATAAAATAGTACGATATGTGAATTGCTGAGGATGGTTTGGATTATTAGAATTTAGTCTAAGTGTTTTGTTTCTTCTGGCATAGTTCAGGATTGAAAGAAGATTGTGTGGCATAATTTATGATTCCTTTTTTTTTTAATATTGCTACTGTGTTCTTCCTCTTTTTTTTTTTTTTTTTGAGGAAGATTAGCCCTGAGCTAACATCTGCTGCCAATCCTCCTGCTTTTGCTGAGGAAGACTGGCCCTGAGCTAACATCCATGCCCATCTTCCCCTATATGTGGGACACCTGCCACAGCATGGCTTGACAAGCGATGGGTAGGTCTGCACCTGGGATCCAAACTGGTGAACCCCGGGCCACCAAAGCAGAACGTGTGAACTTAACTGCTCTGCCACTGGGCTGGCCCCAGTCTTCCTCTGTTTTGTATGTGGGATGCCGCCACAGCATGGCTTGATGAGTGGTATGTGGGTCCATGCCTGGGATCTGAACCCGTGAACCCCTGCCACCAAAGCAGAGTGTGCGAACTTAACCGCTACACCACCAGGCCGGCCCCTACATTCTGCCATTTTTTTAAAGTGGAAAATAAATGTTCCATGAGAAACTGAGCTCTAAATTTTGGTAGCTGTCTACTTTTATACTTTTATTTCAATGACTAAGCATCTTTTTATCCTGATTTTTTTTCTCAGCCGTCTGGGAATAATAATTATCTCTGTTATTATCTATAGTGACATCTACAATCTATAAATAGACATAGTTATATGTATTGTGAAATGCAATTTGGAGCTCTAACTAAAAAAAAAACTACAAAAGGAATCTAAAGTTTTTTTAGCTTTTTCATTAGTACAAGGTAAATAAAGGATCTATTTGAGAAAATTATAGCAAAACTCCAAATAAGGTGCTTAAAAAGCTTAGGAGAATGATTCGGAGGAGCTGTTCATTATGCTCTTATCAGTTAAAAAAGTGAGTCTTCTTCCTTCTCTGGTCTGTCCTTTTACTCCAGACACGCAGCTTCGTGCTGTGACCCCTTCTTGTTCAAGGGGAACACACAGGTGAGTCCTGAGATCCCAGTGGTGGCAGAGGGCTGGTCTGCTTCTGAAACAGAATCAGCTAAAGGATGTATTTTTAGAAGAACAGCAATCACAAAGGGTCACCACATCTTCCCCTATCCTACTTGCATATTAAAAAATAAATAGGCCACTACTCATTTCTTATAGTTGTGAGGCGCAGTTGTTTAGTTCTGGATTATGCAAACTGGCTCTTCACTGTACACATGGGCTGGTTTTTGT